CATCACGGCTCTGAGGAAGGCGAAGTCGCCGAAACGTCAGCCATCGATCAATAACATCAAAAACAACGACAACGACAACGAAGATCTGTACCAACCTCGCGTCAGCTTAAGAAGATCAGTTTATAAGATCTCATAAATAAATATATCAACTATTTATGCCGAGGTTCATAGAAAGTCGGTCTTTCGTGATACCAAACAGTTGTGGTAGCAATTTATCTGCTCCCTAGGAATGGAGAGCGTGGTTGGCCGGTATGGGATCGAACCTTGTTTATATAGCATGGCATCGGTAACCACAATGCTTTCTACGTCCAGTAGTTCGAATATTTCTAATAATTCCACTTTTAGGATGGGTGGAGTATACGAGGGATTATTGTCTGATTGAAAACACTTACTATGTGCCAATGAATGATCCAAATCTACCACACATTACGCACAGAGAACAGCAAGAGTTGCCGTATTACCAAGTCTGTAAGAACGAGCACGTAGATCATTTAAAGACAGCAAATATTCCAATTTTCGTATTCAGTGGGTACAATTCGTTCTTGTGTTGTTAGCATTCTGCTTCTATCTACCGCATATATATTGGCGATCTATTAACTGGTGGTCAGGTGGGTCCTTTTCTAAGCACCATTAATAGGTTTTTACTTTTAGTTAAGAATTGGATGTTAGTCCAACAGTTTTTATAACTTGAAGGAAGTAATACATTTAAACTGTAGTAATCGATTAGTCAACGGTTTTTTTTACACTTTTTTTCTCTCATTTCCAAAATTTAGGCATTCAATTAAGGGCCATTGTGAAAGCCTGTTGTGAACTTCCCAAGGAGAATGTCATGGTAACATAAATCGAACCTTTTCTCTTAATTTAGTTATTTTGTATTTCCTGAAAATTATAGTTGGTGACATGTGAGTCAAACTAAGCAGTTCACATTTGTTGTTACAGGATTCATAAACTATAGAAACTATAGGGCAAGTGTGTTGCAGTGGTCGAAGGTGCACTGAAGCACACACACGGATAGATCCTCGCACCAATGGCCCACCAAGCCTTCTATGCCTCCGGGATCGGCGTATTGCTACCAGACTTGTCTGCGAGGATAGCAGCACTGGCTCGATACATCGGCAGGCCACCGAGAGTCATTTTGAAGGCTAGATATGCAATCAATCACCTCCAAACGATGCTCAATGAAGTCGAATGCATGGCGCATCCCTCAGGGACTGATCAACGCCGAGAGCTTTTTTTTATAGAAAGAAACACGTTTTATTTCTTACCAATTAAAACAAGCCTTTTTTAACGCGTAGTTCCACCAAACATCAGCCCGAGATGGCACTATTAAGTTTTCCACCGTTTCTTCTACGAATCAGACCCGCTCAATGGATTTTGAAGGCTTGAATAAAAATAAAGAGTACCTTATGCTATTTTAGCATAGATCACTTTTTTTATTGTTTTTTCGTTACAGAAAAGATAGCCATGGGTAGTTTGATAAGCTCTACCATGTCATGAGCTTGCTCTTAACTGGGTTGTTTCCCTTTGAACGGAAACGGAAGTGGAAAAATTCGTGGTGCTTCTCAGTTGTTGACTTGATCAATGCCGAGGTTAATAGAATGTCAGTCTTGGAAAGAGCTTAGTGGTCCTACAGCTTTAGGCATCACCGCCTATGTAAGAACACCACACCAGCACGATGACACAGTAGATAGGTGGAGCTTCAACAAAGTACAATAGAATAGGTTCTAAAACTTCTAGGCAATCATCGTTTCTTTTTTTCTTTCGAAAGCCGGCCTTGATTTCAGTTCTCTTTTTTAACTTTGCTTTCGAAGAAAGGTAAGGAATATGAAGCGGTCTAGTTCTTTAGAAACGAGAAGCAGCAATTGAAAAGATTGCCAGTCATGTGTATCGAACTACTCAACGTAACAATAAGAATGTCGGCAGCGTTTTCCAGTAAGTTAAAAACTTTTCACCTTTTTGTTTAGTAGTGAAACGTCGGCAATTATAGTGAAAGTATCAAAACTAAACAGTTTTTCTAGCAATCTGATGAGAGGAGGCTGGTTATCAAACAACTATATCATCATGAAGCTCATGTTCATCGTCAATATCGCCTTACAGATTGTTATCTTGCATATTTTTCTTGGATTCAACTGGGGCGACCTTTTCAGTGAGTCCTAACCTTATCAACCTCAAGTTTATACGAAGGAGTAGTTATAACATTTACCGACTTCATACATCTGCCAGAATGCCATCGTTTAGCCGGAACAAAAGGTTAATAAAAATAGTTTAGGACAGAGAGCTCTTCTAGCGAATCGTGAGCCGGTATTTTACCAAAAATCTTAAATTAAGTGTTGTAAAAGTTTTTCCACAGTTTTTTCAGTGGTCTACCCCCTATGGTAGCTGATGGGCATTTCTGAATATCGAAGTATGATGTGCAGGAAAAGCGAGGAGAACCATCTTTCCACATAGTCTCTCACACCAATAATGAGTTCGATGTGTTTATTCGGAAGCTCGGCTGAGAGCAACACCGTAGCATTGCGCCATTCTGGCAAACAAAACAGTCACCATCTGGAAATCCCATAGCACATTCTATCAGACTCACCTGTATCACTTGTTTCACCTGTAGTCCTGGTGATCGTCGAGTGACTCGAGCGGGCGCCAGCAAATCTTCCATTTTTTCCTGTTGCATGCAAGAGTAATCCAGTGGGTTCTGCACGCTCTAGGGACTCGTCGAGCATCATATCTTTCTTTAAGGCTCTTTGTGAAGAACTCTGACCATCGGATCGGTGGCCTTCCTGCAGTACGTTTGACATCCCGAGGAATCTAGTCACTAACGGCTCTTGTCCATTGGTTATCATTCATACGCATTACGTGTTAAGCCACCTTATCTTCGACTGTTTGGCGTACAGAACGGCATCGTTGATTTTTGATCGTTGACGCAGATCGGATCTTCGGATCCCATTCCTTACTTGTGTGGAATGGGGTACTCCTAGCATCGTCCTTTCGACTGCGCGTTCGATAACGCCGAGTGATCTTTCATCCTGTTTACGCATCGACCAGGTTTCTGACGCATACGTTAGGGTAGGAAGTACCGCTGAGTCGATAAGGTGGGCGCGGAGTTGGGTGTTCTTTGTTTTCTTCACTACATTCTCGATGCTCTTGAAAGCTTCCCTAAGTCGCTCGTTTCCTTCTGCTCAGCTCTGGAGCTAGGTCGTTCATCATATTGATTTCCCGACCTAGATAGATATAACTGGAGCATCGGGGATATCTGTTCCGTTGAGCATGAATGGGGCATGCGAAACCAATCCGTTCCTCATGAACATCGTTTTGTGAGATTTGTTTGAAGGCCAATCTTTCTACAGGCTTTATCAAAGTCGTCAAGCATACGCTTCGCTTGGCTAATGTTTGCTGTAATAAGGACGGTGTCGTCAGCAAAGTGAAGATACTGTAACTGTCGACCATCGATTTTCACTCCCATATTATTCTATTCCAATGTTTGCATGACGTTCTGGAGGGTGGTAGTAAATAATTTTGGCGAGATGGTATCGCCTTTCCTAACTCCTTTCTTAACGTCATTGTTAATATCGTTGTAGAGTGGTTATACCTTGGTTGTGAAATTTTTGTAGAGCTCACGAAGAATCTTTATGTACTGAGTAGGGAGCCCTTGGCTATTCAGGGCTTCCAAGACTGCTCCTATCTCAACTAAAGCAAAGGCCTTCTGCAAATCGATGAAAGTGAGACGCAGCGGTCTTTTGTACTCTCGCAATGCTTCAATGAGCCGTGTTACCGTGTGGATGTGGTCCATTCTACTAAGTCCTCTCCGAAACCCTGTTTGCTCACATTGCTGTCCTTCGTCTGGTGTTCTGTCAATCCTGTTTAGGATGACTCGAGCGAAAAGCATGTAGACGACAGTGAGCTGTTTGGGCGATAGTTGCCGATATCGTGTAGGTCGCTCTTCTCGAACAATAACACGGTCTTGCTAGCCTTCGACTGACTAGGGACCAGCATTCAGACAGGCAACGTGTGAAGAGCCGAACCAGTGTGTTTACGAGGACTGGCGAAAGGTTCTTCAAGTGTCCAGATATTATCCTATATGGACCTGGTGCTGTTCGATTTTTCATTGACGAAATGGTATGTCGGATTTCGGGTAGGAGAACCGGTGGTACAATATATCCATTCTCCTTTATTTCATATGACAGAAGCTGGACGTGGCTATCGAAGAGATCCGAGTAGTATTCGTGAATTATTTTCTCCATTGCCTTTCTGGAGGTTGTAACTGTTCCGCCTGAACGCCGGAGTGTAATCATTTTGGTCTTGTAACTGGCGATGCTTCGGTGGGCTTTACGAATGCTTTTCCCAGCCTCTGCAGCTTCGGACATTACTGCTGCTCTTCTCTCTCTAAGATCTTCTTTTATCGCTTGTCTGCATTGTCTTTCAAGTTCGAACGTTAGTTCGCGGTTGCCTGAGGCTCGTGCGATTCCATGCTGGTGTATCAACTCGAGTGTTTGGAGACAGACGTCTCTTGTTGACTTTCGAACTGTGAGATTTCATAGCGCTAACGTGAAAATGTTGAATGAGCCGATCGTATTCTTCGCCGATGTTATCGACAACGGCATTTTCCTAACAGCCGATTAATGAATTGAATAAGTCGCAGTTTACGGTGGTTCTGGGACTTCGGTTTTGGATTTTAGCAGCTTTTTCTCCTTTCCGCGAGAAATAGAATCTTGTACGAAGGAAACGATGGTCTGATCCCGTGTAGAATTTGGGACAACAGCGACATCGGCTTAGGAAAACCTTCTATTTACTATGATTTGGTCTATTTCGTTATGGTACCCTCCATTGGGAGACTCCCACGTCCAGCGCTGAGGGTGGAATTGCGAGTTACCATGGATTGTCTTGGTCGTCATGGTAAACTCAGGCAGCTACTTGCCTTGTTCGTTCCGTTCTAATCCGTGGGTCCCAATGTGGCGTTTTTCAGACGTTCTTCTTGGTCCTGTCTTGGCGTTGAAATCTCCAATGATGACCTTGAGCAATGTGTGGCCTTCTCTGCAGAACTTCTCCAATTCCATATAGAACGCTTCGACTTCTTCTTCGTCATAGTTTGATGTCGGAGCGTAAACGACGAAGATTGTCAAAGCCGGAATTGATCCACGTGTTTTAAATCGCACACGTTCGATTCGGGTTGGAAGTTGCTCCAATGAATCGATGTTCATCGACAAACTCGTGTTGAGGAGAACGCCGACGCCGCCGACTCCTCTACTGTTGCATGTTCCGAGGAACAGTTCTTCTCCGATTTCATAGATGGCGTTGAAAGGCTGGCTTCTTCTCGTCTTGGCCAGACCGATGACATCATACCCTATCCTTCTTGCTTGCACGAGGAAGTCTTCTATCGAGGACTCGGATGCAAGTGTGCGTACATTGTAGGTACAGATCTTCACCATAGTTTTTTGAAATCCAGGCAGCTTCCATTGACCCTAGGATTTTAGCAGCCTCTTCGTACTCGTCCTACCCAACGCTACGAGATTGGGGGCTCTTTCGGGGTCAGGGAAATAAGGCTTTTTTTTAAACTGTGTTTAGCACTTTGATACCCACGTATAGCTTGCTGGGCTCTGAGCATGGGGCTGTGTATGCTCACGGGTAGCTTGCCAGGCTCTCCCAGAGTGGACATGGAGCTTATTTGTCGGAGCAACTCCTAACCGCCTACCATATACTTCCCGGTCACTTGATTGCAGGCTTTTGCCCGAATTCACTCGTAGAATACAATCCGCATAAGCATGAACGCACCCACACACGCATGTATGAATACCGCCTAGCAAATACAGAAAGTATGTACCAAATGGGCGCAGCGGAAACACAGAGTCCATCCCCTCGATCCAGCTGCGTCTCAGAGAAGCAAAGGTCGCTTTTGGTCCGCGTTTAACCCCCTATCCGCCACCTGGGAACGAGCCACATAGCCTCGCGACTAACCGGCTCGAAATCCCTCATATGAGGGAAATCTGTGGCCTATCAGACTCAAGGGCAAAAAAGCTTAATCTGTTATCCAGTCAAAAAATTACCACTTAAATTAGGTGTGATGGTTTGGGGACCGCACTATTCTACGTCATCCATGAACACTAGCTATTTAGGTAACCAAATATTCAGGCAAAGTTTTACACCTTAAACGGTGAAACAACGAGCCTTCCAGATAAATCTGGCACCAATTTATTGACCACGAAGGAATGAAGGGCTTGGTGTTGGGGCATGGAAATCGATCCCATGTTTATCGTAGGGCACTTCTGACCACTGCGTTACGCGCTTCCTCGACTGGCTATGGATGTAAAATAGCAAACTGAATACCAGAAGCGGTCGTAAAGGTGATTTTTTGCACATTGGACTATGCAATCATTTAAGGTAGCCAAGCAAAGCATCAAGTCTGTTATTTTCCTCGGATACAAGTCTGACACAATTTGCCGACCTTGTAGAGATGGAGAGCTTAGTAAGCGCAGGCTGCGGGATTGAAATATGGACCATAAGTGCATTCAGGGTACCACTAACTACTGCATTACACTAGTTTTTCACAAGCTGGATCATAGCCACTTAAATTTTATTGCACAGTACTGAATTCGAACGCTTGTTGACGACGGTGTGTCAATGTCTCCTCTGCGACATCAGAAACTGACAAAGTATAAACAACCACATTGCTGCACACTGGTTCAATCACTGTAATGTGGTCGATTAACACCGTTGTATTCTTACAGACTTGAAACTCGGATTCAATACTGATTGGAAGTCGACCGGTTTGTTTCCAAGGTCAACGATGTGTGATTTTGAGGTGACAATGGACATTTTAAACGGCATATCATAATATTGTAGTATTAGTTTATTTTACAACATTTACAAGAGCTTGTGTTTTTATGACTTAAAATTTAAATGAAGAGAGTTAAGGTGCGGAACAAAGGAAACCTTCAGCGATATTCAGTCCAGTGTGTACTATCATTGAATATGTTCAATGAGAAAATTTTTCTCGTTCTTCTTTACTGGCTGATTTTCCTCTTCATCGTGAGTAATACCATCATACCATCATCATACCATTTTTAATCTGCTTAATGTTTCGGGAGTATTTTTTGGCAGATGATCTCCCTCGTTGTAAAACTGGTAAGGGATATAGGCGCACTAAAATGTACACGTTCCTTGGTGGGATGCCGCATCGCCGTCTAACCAAGCCCCACAATCAACCGTGGTTTGCTACCAAACTTGCCTGGCAGGACAGAAAATACTGACTGGATACATCAATATCCGCTCAGAAGGCGGAGAATAATCCAAATGTGCGTTAAAGCTTTACGATACTACCGATACTACGAGAGAAATCAAAGGACGCATCCCTACGGAATTGCTGATCGATATTGAGCGTTCCGCCTCATAAGTTTTTCTCTTAGGCAGAAGAGAACTGCGATCAACTTCGCAACTAAGAGAATGCGATTAGTTTTTGTGCTTTTTTTGCGTCTAGGTGCCAAGTGATAAGAGAAAAATGATTTAGGTCACTGTAGTGAATTTCATCTTATGGTTAAAAAAACTCTACTCGCCCATCGATCGAGTGAATTTTGTACGACGAATGTTGGAAAGCTCTGGTATTCAAACACAAAAACAGACCTTCATCAAGGTATTATTGATTGATTTATTGACTATTTGGTTAGGATGGAACTAAAATATTAGCTGTGTTCTTAAGTAGAATCAATGATTAGATTAGCTTAACGTCAAGATGATTGCAGTCAAAACATTCAAACACTAATGAAGTGTTTTTTATTCCAGCACGAATCCGAGAAGAAACTTCTTAGCGGAGAGATTGAAAATTCAATCAATACCTATAAGGTGGACGATATTTTAGACTATCATACACTTCGAACTATTTTTGTATCTGTATAGGAGCTTACTTCTTACCTGATAATTGTTTTTTTAACAATGACACTCTTGCAGTAACTCCCACGTCCAACTTTCTATTAACCTCGGCATTGATTGAATAATTCTTTCCACCCCCGTTTAGCAAACACGAGGTGTTATTTTATTGCTTTATTTACGTACAAGCTGACGTTTCGGCGGATTTCGCCTTCTTCAGAGCCTGGAAAGGTCAAGTTGATAGCAACTCACTCGGCCAGACGCCTCCATAACCAAACAAAGAAACTCCAAACCAAGATTTCAATCACTTTGAACACAGCTTTGCACACTCACCGCTTTCTATGAGGTTTCCACTAAGTATGTCTCGTGGAGACCAACCACACAGAAAACACATGGAAGCATATTGTGCCCTTCTCATCAGAATAACAGGTTTATATACTGCCCAATATCACGCGTGATAACGAGGCATTCCTCTCTGCGGTTCATTTTCGGATTTCTGGAATTAATCCAGAGTGCCTCGAGAGTTTTACGCGCCTGTGTTCTTGATTCACGTGCGAGTGGTTCATTGTGTGTTCAAAAGCTGTGTTCAATGTGATTGAAATCTTGGTTTAGAGTTTCTTTGTTTGGTTATGAAGGCGTCTGGCCGAGTAGATTGCTACCAACTTAACTTTTCCAGGCTCTGAGGAAGTCGAAAACCGCCGAAACATCAGCTTGTGCGTAGATAAAGAAATAAAATAACACCTCGTGTTTGCTAAAAAAACGTGGAAAGAATGACACTCTTAGTTTCCTGTCGTAGAGTAACTCAAAGTAATGGTATTAGCATTAAATAACTATGGTCAGTGATAAGACTGATGATCAATTGAAGTGTGTTAAAATTCGTCCTACTGCTGCCTGATTTCTTGCATAACTTCTTGCATAATGGATGAGACACGCTGGAAGTACTTACGACTTCTGGCTGGAGCTTCTTCAATATTTGAGCTCTCCCTTCGAGCAAATTGAAGTCCTCCATTTCTCTTCGGTTATGGCTTTGTGTTTAATAAGTGAATGAAAAATACAATTAGCGCATCCAACATTTTCGAGACGGAAAGTAAGAAGCGTTCGGCGTTGATCAACAACCTCTTGGGATTGACCCATGCATTCACTTTCATTCATGGCACCGTAGGATAGGCTACATATGCATATTTGGCCTATATTAGGAGTTACGGTGGCTTATGAATAAATGGGGTCAGTGATGTTAGCCTCCCAGACGAGTTTTGTAACAAACTATGGACTCCGACTGTGCAGGTCTTGCTCGGTCCGAAATGCATGATAGAACCAGAGACCATGTATCTACTGCACGGCCTCTCAAAACAATGCGCCATATCAGCCCAAAGCAGTGAGTACTTACTTGATACTTGGACGGCCTGTCATCACTAGCTGTGCGGGCCCCAGCATAGTCACCATTTACTGGAGATTTGCTGGTTAAGCTATTGTGGTTCTCTGGAATGCCGAGGACAGCCTGGCCAAAGTCTGCTCCAGCTCGTCACCACGACAGGCAGTCGGAGCCCTTGTGGATCAGAGGGAGATTTACCACTACGCGACTTTGATACCAAGGCGGTGGTTAATCCTGGTATTGGTTTACTCTTAGCTAGGTTTCCTCATTGAAACGCCGGACTCCTCAGCTTGGGAGACCATGCTGGGTGGATGAATGCCCTGCTGTAGTCACAGCCCGACACCCAGGGACACCTCCCAGCTACAAATGAGGCGGTAAACCACTGGAAAGAAGCAGTGAATAAAGAAGGTTGGGAGAGGTTCGGTTAAAGTAGCAACGTTATAGCGTTTTTTACGGTTCTGCTGTCGATTTCTATGAACTACGACTATATAGCCTTCTAAATTGCTTGTTAGTAGAAATCATGGAAATTCTTCTTCATTAGCGTTCTGTTAGACGAATCCTTCTGTTCTACATCGCAGTCCGACACCCAGGAAAACCTCCCAGCCACGATGAGGCGGTAAACCACTGGAAGGAAGCGGTGAATAAAGAAATGAAATTCGAAACATTCATCTGGGAGGGTATCAAATGAGCACATTAGACAGAATATTATTCTATTCCAATATTTAGAAATTCGACAAATTCGAGGAAAGCGTCGACGGTGATCTCATTGTGATTCTCCGATTGATCTCTTCTAATGCTGGCGCTAATGTCTGCTCTGATGTGACAAAGAGCCTCTTCGAAAAGGTTAGCCAATCCATGGCGGTCATAAAAAACGTCGTCTTTCTAAGCGAATCCCACCCAATAGAAATAAAATTTTTCATATTTTTCATGAAGAAAACCAATAGCAGTTCTTTTTTCCAGTTTCTAAACTTAGTGGCTATTAATCTGTTTCGTTGCAGTACTGAATGCGTTACCTCTTGAAGAATACCTGGATCTGTTTGTCAATGTTATCATCGCGATTGAAATGTTCTACTTGTAAAGTTATTAATAAAATGGCTTCATATTGTTATTTTGTGAAAGTGAAGCGTTCGTTTTCCAACTCATCGGTTGAGTGCTTGTGTTCCCTGTTCAGATTCCTTTCTGTTGAATTACTTTACTATTGACGCGTTATCCATTGAACGGCAAGGCCAAATATATGGTAAAACAAAAGCACTTTTACAAATGTACTCACCAAAAAAAAATTTCACCTCATATGGCGCAGTGGTCGGAGGCGTCGTTCAAAGCACACATGGAATCGATCCCCGCACCCGTGACCTACGAAGCCTTCCATACCTCCGGAGTCGGCAAATTGGTACGAGATTTGTCTGGGAGGATAGTAGCACTGGCTCGATACATCGGTAGGCCACCGCGAGTTATTGTAAAGGTCAGATATGCACTGAATCACCTCCAAACGATGCTTGATGAAGTCGAACGCATGGCGCATGCCCCATTGATTGATCAACGCCGAGAGCTTTTTTATCCTTTATTTACGAAAAAGGTAATGTGTGTGGGTAAACTGAAAATTCCATAGCATGAATAATTAAGGTCTTCGTGGAAATCGGGTTAAAAGGGATCTTAAAATGAAGCCTTCACTAGAACTTTTTTCAAAAATGTATTTTACTAATGAATATTTGTTATGTATGAGTCATTTTAATCTGCTTCAGTGACTTCATGGTAATTCGACGACACCGGCTATGAGGGTCCCACTAACTCCTTTTTGGGGTGACAAAATTTTCCTTTAGTAAAGTTGCTAACACATAAAGAAACCATCTGAACTTTCTCCCTTCGATAGGACAAACTCTAGCAACAGATAATGCATACAAATAGTGTTCAAACATTTTGCTGCCACTAGCTTGCCTACTTGCTTACATTATTAGATTAACTCACTTTCACGAAAAGTCGTCGCATTCCTGAAGCCACTTTCCCTCAATAAAAAAGGATAAAGGATTGAGCTCTCGGTTGATCAATCCTGATGAATGCGCTATTTATTCGACTTCATTAAGTATCGTTAGAAGTGATTGAATGGAGATATGCATTCCTCTTAATATTGATGAAAGAAAGACATCTCTGATGAGCTGAAATAATCGTATCATGGCCTAGTTCGTCTTCATTTCGTGTTTACTGAATTCGAGACCTGTCACTTTACAATTACCAACCTTTTAAAACACTAGAGAATTTAGAATCGACGTCTACCCATGACTCGATTTCCGACTGAGAACGACTTAAGCACTACCAGATTGAATGGCAATACCCCAAAAGATTTGTTTCAATGTGGGAGGTGTGTATGAATGCATGACCTATTAAATTTCTTACGGACTTAATTGCTTATTGAATCAGTTCGCCTATCCTCCCACACAGCTACGGCAGCACTTTTTTAGGCCCGTAGGGGTGGTTTGCACTGGGCACGTGATCGAACCAAAGGCAGTATCAGTAGCAGGCACCCCTAACCAGTAGGTAACACCCGCTCCATAATCTTATTACATAAATTTAATCATAACTTTTATAAACCGACGAAAAATTTGACTGATTTGCCTAAGCTGTTGCCTACTTTTCTTTAATGGCAGGGTATTATGTGAAATGTAACCATAACGACGCTGAGACATTTGCATACTCCGGATCCCTGGTGTCCGCAGTAGAGACCAAACACGCTATTAACCTTTCCAAGGGTTAACGCGTTCACCACCGCACCATGAGGGTCCTTCGTTTCGCCTTTTTCTCAGTCGTGCTATTGACTTGCGGGAAATAGTCAACAGTGTGATTAGTTCTTACTCTTATCGTTAAAGCGGAGAGCCGTGTGACGCAATGATTAGAGGTGACATGTAGTGCGCACGTGAACCTTAGTTCGACTCCGTATTCCTTATGAGTCAAGCTCTCTCTACTTACGGAGAAGGCTGATTAGTTGTAGACTTATCCAGGAGAACAAAGGCACTGTGCACTGATAGCCTATCCCACAAATCGCCGTATGGGTTAAATATGCATTCTTCAATCACCTTGACGGTGTTACAGGTGTAATCGAATGCAAAGCCCATTCCTAGATTAGATTGATGGACAGCGAAAGCTTTATCCTTTATACTTGTATCGTTAAAATAACTTATGTGTCATTCATTAATAAATCAGAAGAAACGTGTGAGTGCCGGGTGTTAACGAAGACGCGGTATCCGTAGTAATGATAATGACGATGGATGATGATGGTGACGATTCACGACGCACATCACCTAATATTCAGAGATTATACATACTTCACGACAAGAGCTCAATAATCGTGAGAGCTCTTGACGGAGATTATATGAGATGATGTTAATAAGGGGTAAGAGGGCGGAGTGTATCGACCGGCCAGCCCAGCATGTAACAACACTAAAGCGGTTAACGCCACTCTCCACACTCGTCGTACGAGGTTTAGTCGTTATTCTAGTTCAAAACGACTCGCTCATTTAGGTACAATTCTTCATTAACTTACTGACTTTACTGTTATGAGGCATATTGTTCAAATTTACTCGTTTGACCTTCTGAAAGCCTTCAAGATGAAACGCGGTTCGTTCACTCTGCGAGTTATTCTGGTTCCGGAAGTGCCATGTAGTTGGCATTTCATAATATCCATCCATTCGTTCTCAGTAATAAACTTCTTCTTCGTTAATAGGTCATTAACTTCACTTTTACAGGTTTCGATATTTGGTTCTTATCGCATGACTTCACGAATATCCTATCGTTATCTATGAACAGACCTCTACTGAAAATATCGTAGTCGTAAAAACTACGGAGAGTAGAAACTCCACGTTGCATTTGAAGCATCTCCTTATACTGTGGAGGTCGTTATATTTCCTTCTTTCGTTATTTTTTTCCACTTCTCGAATACTAGTTCGCCATTCTAACATTGTGCGTCAGAGCATAACTGGTCTCGATACGTTTTTTGTGGAGCCAAATGTATCGAGGATTGTTTTCTACCTGAGTATTATTCCCTATCGTTGTCTTTACACAGATAACTAACTTGTAACCAGTATTTACTTATAGATACTCAGATAGTGCCCGCCTTCAAATGCCATGCGAGTGCTGCCATTTTTTCCGTTCATTTCGTTGCCTTCAACTGTTATCTATTGGCGATGGCGACATTTAGTGTAGATTCTGCCTCAACTTGAGGATTTTGTGTCGTCTGTCCTCGCTGATGTGCTGAATGTTTGTCGAGCGTGATTCCTGCTGTAACTTCCTGATAAGGCATTCTCAGTGTCTCTCCTAGCAGTTACCAGCCAGTCCTTGTGGATCTGAACGAAGTTTGATGTTTAGTTATTTGAATTCCTTAAAGATGGCATCGATTTTCTGAGTGCGGCGGACGACTGGAGGACAATTTCAGAAGCTGGATTTGTCTTCCCTATATATGGGATAAAGGATAAAGCTTTCAACACTGATCAATCGCTGTGAGATGCGCTGTGCACTAGACATCATCAGGTATCATGGAGGTGTTTAAGTGAATTACCAATAGGCAATAGCTCGTGGCGGTTCACTGATGTGTAAAGTCAGTGCTTCTATCATCGCAAGCAAGTCGCGTACCAATTTGCCGAACCAGTAGGGATGGAGGGATTGGTGAGCCCGGCGCGAGAGGCACTTCTAACAACTGCGCTACACGCGCCCTTTCCCGTATTTATGTAATCGTAAGGATTTTGTTTGCATCTATGTAGATTGTTCTCTGGATGTCTGTTCGGCGAAAACTCCACCATCAAGTTTCGTGCAATGAACTTTCTAGGCCATTGGAGACCTACAGATGCACTGTCGCCAGAAGAATTAAAAATAAAGGGCTTCATACAAAATGTGTGAAACTCTCCATATCTATGGTATGGAACCTTGTTGAGAACTTAGGAACTATACTACCGGGAGAATTTAACACTTTACTGATGATCGCGCGATACACTTGATGAATCGCGGGATTGCGGATGATATAAGTGATTCAAGTGTAGCAATGACCTCTGTGTCTTGTGTTGCTACTGTTTACACTTCAAACAAGTAAATATGAAATCCACACAATAATGTTCTGCCTTATAAACTGTCGCACGTCCTAGTATTGAATTGTGGGCTTTCCTTAAAATAGGTATTAGGCTTATCTGTCAGGGACGATTTCAAAGCTGATCCCATTTATTTCTGTAACTCCTTGATTCTGGGCTGTTGAGAGAATCATGGTGCGGAGAACAATCCACATACATTCAAGCATATCTGAGCCCTCCGAGATCATTTGTACAAGATGCGTCTGAGAATAGAAATTTTCATAGGAGCACATTTCTTGTTTACTTTTTACATACGTGGTGCCTGACCTAGTAATATTTGATGCCATTTCATTGCCTTGCAAGGGTTAATAATGGAGGTGATTGGTTTCTTATGTGAGTTCGCTTGCTATCTGATGTGTCCTCACGTTCTTTCTTTACTGAAATGTCGACTGCTGTTTTACGATGGACGACTTTCCGTAGGTTTCCGAGTCAGCCGGTGCATCAGAACATCCCCTTTCCTCCTAGCAGTTACTTGCCATCTTTATATATTGAACAGAGAGTTACTAGCTAAGTTCTTCTACTACGGCTGCTATTCTTGTTACGGTTCCGATTCCTACGATTAGTTTACCACCAACCGATTGAAGACAATAAAGTGAAATGAAAAATAACAAACCTCGGTATGTACGTTGGATAGCTCATGGACGGCGGTAAGGATAATCGTAGGTTTGTAGCCCATCTAAGGTCCCTAATTTTACGCATATATCAGCACCCATAAAATGAGAGTATTTGGTTTTTGTTCTACAGAATCCAGCTACTTTTTGTAGTCCCGCTTTGAAATCACCTCTTTTCAAATTAGTCACTATATCGTGTTTCTAGCATGGTTACAGATTAATATTTGCATGGACTTCAACTACTTTAATGTAGTGTTACGGTTTTCCTAGGCAAATGGTTCGCGGAGTGGTGACGATGGAACGCATCGAGACGTTCTCGGCAGCTCATCGGCTTCATTCCAGCCAGTTGAGTGTCGAAGAAAATCAGAACATCTACGGAAAGTGCAACAATCCGAATGGACACGGACATAATTACGTATGGAGGGTATGGGAACCACTTTTAAGTGCATTTGAATTCCACTTTTATATTCGTTCATTTACTTATTTTATCATATTGTATAACTTTAAGTTAGTCGTTATCCACTGCTTTGTCTTATTTATTACCATGACCCAGCAATACGTATCGCTCTGTGCGAACCACAGGACTTCTCGCATTTGATTCGTTTCCTGGCAGCCACGATTCACAAAGCCCTTTGAACTTTTTGCATGGTTCCAGCTGCTTGAATTTTTTATCCTTGTCACGAATGTCGTTGAATGCTGGTCGAGTCAATACTCCTAGATTCGTGATATGGTCGTCCTGGGGAGTTTCCGCATTTATTTTAGCGGGTTAGCTTTTCCCAGACTGGTCTGATTCCACTTTTCCGATCCCGGAGGAATGAGAGGCATGGTTGGCACGGAACAACATCGATCCAGCGACTGAATAGGTTGCGCCATCCTCGTAATAAACGTGACCAATTACTTCAATGGTACCAAATGTAATACCAAAGAAATGGCGAAAATTTTATGGAATAACAGTAACAAAATCGTTGGATCACTTGAATTAAATGGATGATTAGTCCTTTTATGTCGTACAGATCCCCGGTAATCCGCAATACAGTCGTAGTCAATAATTCACTGTTTTCTTGCTAAGTAGAGAGTAGTAGAGGTTTTTATTAAAAAAAAAGGATAAAGCTCTCGGCGTTGATCAATCTCTGAGGGGTGCGCCATGCATTCAGCTTCATTAAACATCGTTAAAAGTGAATGAATGCATATCTGGCCTAAACACTGATTCTCGGTGGCCTCCGATGTATCAAGTCAGCGCTGCTATCTTCCGAGACAAACCTGGTACAAATTTGCCGACCCCGGAGGGATGGAAGACTTCGTGAGCCTGGAGCCCGGGGATCGGACACGTCTCGATCCCTAGGCTGGGACGTTTCCAAATGAATTACAGAGAGTGGTTTTTTTTTCTAGACAAGTCCTGTACCAAGTTTCCGACTCCAAAGGGTTAAGACGCTTGGTGAGCCTGGAATGAGATCGAAGCAGTACCGTGCTCGTGATGATTGACATCACTACCATTGCTCTATTCGCCCCTGAATGTTCAAATAGATATACTACTAGCGTTGTTTTTAGAAAAGCTATACGTAATAGCTAAGAATTTTCAGGTGAAACTTCGAGGAATTCCTGACCCTGTTACGGGAATGGTATACGATCTAAGTGAACTGAAAAAGAGTATGAAGGCTGTTCTCGACACCGTCGATCACAAAAATCTCGACAAGGACGTGGAATGGTTTCAAGTGAGGAACATTTTAGTGCCTCGCAATAAAATTAGTGTCGAATATTCGAGTACTCGATTATTAAATATCCAATATGCAACGACTTTGGCAGTTAATCATTTGAAGAAGATAAGCTTAGGTTATCGAGTTTACAAAATACGTGGAAAAGGTGTACCGACATACAAATTGAAGAAGAAGTATTAGAATGGTAGTGAAATAGATTAATAGTAATGTAGTAATAGGGGAAGTACAAGATGTCTTTAATCCGGATCTTTCATTTCATAGTAGATCTTGTGGTTAAATGAGTGAGTGTTTTATTCTTGTGTAAGGCCTAAAATTGTTAATAATAGGACTTACTCAATACTGACTGAAGTTCTGACGATTCATCCTGGTTCAAAACCCGGAAGGGTTAAACTGACATAAAATCCACTTCGCCAAACACTTTCATAACTTTAGTAGATAGAACTTAGTACAGAAATTATCACTAAAGTAGTAAATAGCTTTTCTTAAACACTGGCTTACTCTTCGTAATTTCCTCGGTTATTTGGCTCTGAAGAGGCCGAAATCGTCGAAACACCACTTACTACCGAATAAATCTTGTTGGTGACAACATTTTGTCTGTTCAAGATTAAAGCGCTGACGTATTGAACAATTTCAAGACCAATAGAAAATTGGTCTTACGAGCTCCTCTGATTCTCGGGCTGTTGAGCTAAAACCAAAACAACTTCGACGATGACCAAAGGATTGAACTATTCGAATTTCACACACCGTAAATCTTAAAATTTGGAAAACCGGATCGTTGAATAATTTGGAAACCCCTTCCTGCCATATAGTAGCTCATTTCCCATAATTTCCATTTTTACTCTCAACTTCCTTTTTATAATGGCTATAACTCCAACCAAAGCCATTTCTAGTTAATGTTATCTAGTATTAATGTCAATTATTAAATTGGTTTTGTAGAAATCCTGGCAATTGTCGTACCAGTGTAATCGATTAGTAAAAGGAAAATTGGAACTTTATCAGAAAACACACACAATAGAAAATTGACTAGTGCATTTGGGGGATTTTTGTAGAATAGTGGTACCGTATCATCTTTTCATGACAGTGCGGGAGCACTAACTTTGCTTATTATCCCTTTCGTGTTTATGCGCATTGATTTCGATATGTACGTAGTTGGACTCAAATACCGTACATATTGCTTTCAATTAGAATGATTTTTGCTGGTTTATTTTGCCGTGCAGAGCATTTTTGGCAGACTCAGTTCGTGGCGTTCCGGACACAAATTTTGTACAGGTGCCAAGCCGAAGATAAATGTTCTCAATGTACTATGCTAACAAAAAGCCGGTTTCGGACGAGTCACTTCGTCCGCTTGAATTTTACAGCGGGTCTGTTATTATTTTCGCGAGAAATTTTAGAGTTTTTAAACAGTTGTTGTAACCAGAAGAGGAGATATCGCGTGAAACTTCTATAGTCGTGTTTTTGGTATGCGGAAGGCGTATCTGTCCTCAAAGTGCACATTTATCAATATGTGAACTATTTCCTTGGCAAAAGAATATATATCCAACTCTTAGTACACAATCTTACCGCCCATCTTGTAAATGTTGAACGTTCAAACGTTTATTTGGCAATACACAACTTCTGGTGAGAATTTTTACGGAGATTTTTGTCTTGGCCACCATAGGACTAATTTGCTACCAGGACGGTGACGGATCTTGATATTGGGCTGCTCTTAGCTAGGCTTCCTGATGGAAACGTCGGGTTTCTCAGCTTAGAAGACCCTGGCAGGGGAACGAGTCCCCGCTACACATCGCAGTCCATCGCATCGCATCAGCATCAGTCAGTAGTTCATCTTTTTTGCACAGAATTTGTAATTATTACATACCATCCACACGGTGTACTTCATTCATATAAACAATTTGTGCTTCTTAATCCTTACCTACAATCGTATAAAGCATGCAATTCCGATATAGAGTTTGCGAATTGCCGGGTACGGGAAATCTCAACCGTGATCTCAAAAGGCCTAGACGATCCCTTATTTCAATTTCGTGAGCAATCCCAAAAAACGCCTGTCTAACCTCTTTGTAAGTGGTCCCGGTATTTTCAAAATTTTCACAATGAAGTTTGCAGGAAAGCAATTGGCCGGCTATCATTTAAGTAAGCTTCAAAGTCAACGATGTCTTTTAGTGTTAATAGATGAAACAAAGTTATTAAATAAGAACGAATGGAAAAAAAGAAGGGAATCATCGAAGTTATTGAAATGAGTAGTAATGAAATAATTATCCTTGCAAAACTCATCCAAACTGATTTCTAGGAAAGCTTAGCACTGAAATCAACGAAAGAATGATTCTTTGCAAACGGAATTATCGAGATACAACCACAATGATGCTGAGATATTTGCAAAACCACGGACCGCATGTGTATGCAGTGGGGATCGAACGTGCTTTCCTGGGGCTAACGTCGTGGTTGTATTTTGCCTAATACCCCGCCGTGAAAAATTGTGGTACGCAGCAAATAAAAAGCAAACATTGTGATTTCAACTACAGCCTCAGCTTAACTGGGTTCAATGCCGATGCGGGTTCTCAAGACCAGTATCGTTGATGGGTTATTACTGATGGCACTGGTCGATAGAAAACTAGCTGAGAGACACGGGATACGAAGGACCCGCATGGTGTGGTGATGAACGTGTTAGTGTCCGGAAAGAGTGATAATGGGGCGCTCACTCGTTCCCCATCGTAAACGCTTCGGAGTTTTGCAAATATCTCAGCAGCGTTGTGGTTGTATTTCGCTTATTACCCTACCGTGAAAAACTGTACTAGGCAGCAAATAAAAAGTAAACATTGGAATTATCTGAATTCTTTTATGGTTCAACCAAAAACCTCTATGGAAGCTTTTTGGAACGTTTATTTAGTTTTGATACCCAATTTTTGTAATATATTCAGCATATCGCTGATATTGTTTTTTGATTTCAGCATAACGTAAGCACTACAGAAAATGTCGCCATCTATTTATGGGAGAAATTACGTGTACAAATGAAAACGCCAAAAGTTCTTTATAAGGTGACCGTAGAAGAAACACCGAAGAATATTTTCTCCTATAAAGGAGAAATATAGATGGTGTGGATTCAACACTTATAGTACTGCAGACCCCCTTTTTCTTTGGAATGAGTTCTAGCAAAAATTGAATAAATGAAAAGTGGCGATGTCGTCATGGTGATGTTAGTCGTAAATTTGAACTGAGATCAGATTCTGTTAGTCGATTCGTTTAAATGTAATACCTTGATCGTAGTTCTTGCTGTGTTTCCGATGAAGGAGCAATTTTTCCTAATCGATGATCGATGAGCTTATTTCTTAGCGACTATTGATTTTTCCGTATTAAATTTCCACCTAAGTAGTATTATCACGATAGAAAAAGTGTCCTTCGTTCCTTTCATGCTCATCGTGAGCATCATCATCATTCTTATCGTTACCATTAAAATCATTACTTTCTTCATTTTCTTCTTGAACCTTTTATACTTTCTTGTCTTGTCCTTGTTTTTTTTTTGTTCCTGTTATTACTATTATTGTTCTTCATCTTCATCTTCTTCAATTTGTACTTTTTCTTTACATTCGTTCGTTGCACATAAGAGCCTAAGATAACCGCAATCTGTAAGTCGTCAGATGTATACGAGATTGACCATTATAGGTGTTCGCCGATCTTCTAATAGATATGTATTCAAGGTTAATAAAAGAATTTTTTTTTCTACTTCATTGATCTCGCGCAGTTTCTTTTCATAAAATGAGGGTACTTACTTCCATATCATTTTCGAAGGCTTTGCTGAAAGTCTCTACTATGGTTGTCTTCAGGCCTAAAAAGTGGTGGCTTAGTTTAAAGAAGAAAATAGTTTAACAATTTTTTCCTACTCAATCAGTTTTTTTGGTCAAAATCGTTTAAATGAAGTCGCTGTAAGAGCGATAGGAAGCAGCCATAACTTGGTTGACCATGTCTATGAATTTCCACTCAACTGTAAGAAGAACTGTTACTAAGCATGGTACTACGTTTATATGGCTTAGTTGTCGTTGGTGTAATACACATATAGTCATTTGTTCGATCCCAATAACATGGTTCACAAAGCCTTGCATCTCTCTGGTATCCTTAAAATGTTGCTAGACTTGTCTCGTGCAGTGAAAAGACTTAAAACATCGATGGGACCCTTAATTTATTATGTGGATTAAGTACGCATTCAATTACTTCTACAATTCTGATTGGATATTAAGGCGTAACACATCCATGTGAAGCCGAGTAATTCATCGTCTATGGTCCACCACATGGCATTCAATGATTAGGTATTTCTTACGGAGTGTTTCTGCATGTGCAGGGCGTCCAGTGAGAGGTTCATCTTCTAGTAATGTTATCTGAGCTGACAACGGGCACAACATCTTCGTAAGAAGACCTAGTTAAGAGTAAATGAACGACATAAAATAGTAACTTTATAACTGCAAATTGTCGTCAAGAATTGCCATGCTTCCTTCACGATTTGGTGCCATTGTTCTCGCAAACAAGTCCAATACAAATTTGCTGAGCCAGTAGGGAGTGGGAGCGAGGGCTGCACGGTGGGAGTGATTGAACTAATTACCATATGTGTATTGTAGAATAACGTCAACCACTACGCTAAGCGTCTCCCTACAGATAATTAAAGATGGTATGTAAAATAAGATAAGGTTAAGCAAGAGTATAAAGCGTTATTAATACTATAATGCTGAATTTCAGTCATTCACTGCGATTTCATCATTGTTTTCACAGCCGGTTCGATAATCAAACATGGTAGTGTTCGAATGGTATAATGGTTGACCGCGGTTCACATCATGCTGACCATTCTAGTTTTACCGCTACAATTTTTTCTGCGTACCTCTGGTCAACTTGGTATGTGTCGTTTTACTTTTCAAATGCCCTTCCCAAATAAGTTTGTGTTTTGTGCTTTCAACAATTTCCGTGTAGTGCTTTTGTCTGAAAAGGTAGAAGTAGAGGAACAAACAGCCGTATCACTGCACTTTCTATATTATAAGAAATTTCTTCGTATTGTCTACATAGTAGGAACCACTGACAGGGCCCTGTTCACCTAGACTGGCAATAGAGCAGTCCTAAGGTCATAGAACTTCCTTTGTTTTTTTTTGAAGCCAAAACGAATAATTGAAAAAACGCTGTGGACTTTAACGCTACAGGCCCGTCTATCAAGCGAAAGAACTAGGGTTACCGGACTGCGAAATCTGCACGAGATCCATTCGGAACATTGACGGGAAAGCCAATAAAACCTTTCCTGTTTTGCATTCCAGCCTTCTCGTGCAATTCTTTTCCATAAAACGATTTACTGAAAGGTATTTGTCTTCACATGGTTTTCATAGCTACCAGAAAGATACTGCTGTAGTTATGACTAGTCGCAGAAAGCAGTGTAGCATTTACGAAAAAGAAATCGTGTAGCAAAATTACCTGTTGAATTTCAGAGGTGAAGGCTTGCTGCGGTGGTGATGCGGGTACATGTCGAACGTTCGAGAAAGTGGACGAGTTGTTCGGAATTGCGTGTTGTGCACTTCATCCATATAATACTTTCACGCAGATATGTTGTGAAGGTGTAATTCGGTACGATAATGAAAAAAGGGCATTTATAGTTCAAAGCTTAGGAATACCCTCCAATGCACACGTGGTCGTTGGTTCGAATTCGTACCCAGAACAAACTAAGCATTTCATCCCTTCGGAGTCGGCGAATTAGTACCACACATGTGTAGAAGAATAAAAACACTGAACTGATTTTCTTCGTATTTTTGTTGAGCAAACGCGAGGTGTTATTATTCTTTGTTCACGATTAAGCTGACGTTTCGGCGGATTTTGCCTTCCTCAGAGCCGCTTCCTATGAGGTTTCCACTAAGTATGTCACGTAGAGACCAACCGCACAGAAATCACATGGAAGTATAATGAACACTGAACTGACACATTAGTGCGCTTTCGAAAGTCATTGTATTGGGTGAACATGCTTTCAATGATTTTTACGACACTGTGAGCAGTATCGAATGCATCCCTAAGGATTTGGTTAACGCTGAACACTTTTTTCCTTCCTGCTTTTACCCTTTAGCGTGAACGACCAAAACAAGTTAAGTTAAGGTAAATCTCATGTACTTAAGGGCAGTTGAAATTTTACTTTGGTGGAGAGATGAATTGTCTAACGTTAATCTTCTTTCATTTAAGGATCACCGCAATGAACAGTAACACTCCAGAACGTTCAATTTTTCGAACAAAAAACACACGATGGTGTCATGTTATAATAATATTCACAACACAACCATTCTTCTGTTTGGACTAGTTTCCAGAACTTTCTAGTAATAGCGACAATGACGGTTCCGTTTTTGTATTCACTGAAGAGAAGGGATTAAATTGTAGATGCAATTTTATTCCACCGTGCAGATCGACACGGTGATTTTAATTCAGTCACGAATTTTACATAGAGATGACGACTGCATTAGGCCATCCAGAACATGATGAGGAAGTTTATGACAAAATAGACGAAGTCTGAGGAATACGGTATGAAAAGAATGAAGCGTTCAACGTTGATAAATCCGCGAGAGATGCTCCATGTGTTAGTTCTCATTGACATTTTGGAACCGACAAGGGTTGATTTCCACTCACACGAGACGTAAATGACCGTTACTTTAGAGCTTAAACCAATATATCTCAACCATAAGGAAGTTGAGATATGAACAAAATTCCGAACCTCAGTTGGGCTTCGAATCCGCGAGTACTCTTGCCGGTAGCGGATGTGCTGTTCACAACACCACCGAGGTCGTTGCATTGCCTTGCTCTCAGCAATGTTTTTAGTCTATCGATTCTGTAAAGGAGAAAAAAAGCTGTTTGAGAGAAAGGGAAGGCAAGGGTCTCGGTTGGAAAGCATGTGGTAAGGGTAATCAAGGGTTCGAACCCAAATTGAATTCGTAAATTTTGATCATTTGTGAGCGTCACTCTGATTGTATTTTACACGGCACCCTGCTGTGAAAAAAGAGTAGCTAGTGAATAAAAGTTAAAAAGACATATCTCATTTCAAAGTAAACCTAGTTCAAATAAAATCTGTTGGAATCTACAAATTTTCTTGAATAACAATCATGACATCTCGTTAAACCAAGACGACATGCTGACTTTATGGAGCTCTGAAATTCTGCTATTGTGAATTTTTTTCGCCGTTCCTAAATTGCAAATAAAAACAGTTGAACGAGCGATATTTTGCCCGTTAGAACATAACGATATCCCCGAATGTATTGCTGATGTTCCTGGCTAACGGGCTCTCGTTTCGATTCTTAAAAATTTAAGCTTTTTGTGCTTGTCAATCTATCATGGATACATTCCTTTTAGCGATGACTACCACACAAAGAGCAAGGCGAGTCGTCAAAGCACTAGAGGCCAAACTCTCAATGCTGAAAGAGTGCGTGCTGAAGGCGGAAGCTCGTGCTCGTCAGATAGATGGAAAACTAAAAGCGATAGAGCAATTTTTAAAAATCTGAACTTCGTTTCCATTTCTGTTAGAATCTTTAACGCTGAACAGCTTCAAAGATGATGTAATAGTTCTAAAAATACTATTAGATAGGTAGAACACACTCTCTTCCGTAACCACAATAATGTGGAAATATTTGCAAAACTTGGATCACAGATCAGATTCGAACCAGCAATTTCCCTTTCCGGATGCTCACCTATTACACCCGCACCACTATGGCCTTCGTTTCACCTTTCTCTATACCAGTTTTAAGATGAGACCGTAGTCATTCCACAAATCGACGGGTGATTAGTAATGGCCCCGTTAGGGTAAAATACTAACTGGGAGAAAGGCGAAGCTAGGTTCTCAGTGGTGCACACGTAAATCAGAGGAAAGCATAACTGTGGGCCCAACTCCACCACTGGCAGTAGCGTCACCAATTTACCGCTTTTAGCAGATCGTTCAAGATCACATTGTTCAGATGTTAACGGTGAAGTTCTTTAATGTTTAGAGAACGAAATCAAGGCGGTTCATCGTATGCGGATCTTTGTTGTGGAAACGATGTGCTAAGATACGATCAGACATGTTGCAATGGAACTGTTAGTGGTCCTTAGCTATTTTGTTTTTCTCTTAAGCTTTTTTTTCACGAAGCGATATAAGGCAGATATAAAGCACTGCATTAACAGGACTCATTCTTCAAAAGCTGAAATGCCGACCAATTTCGCATTCTTTCAGTTCCTGGAAAGTCGTCCATTTAAATAGAAATTCTCTCTTTCTTTAATTAGCTGATTATCGAGACTAACACCATTTCTAAGACAATCATAGCAAGTTTTGTCTTATTTTAGAAAACTCGGGTATCTTATAAAAAACGGGTAACAAAGCATTTTATGTTACAAATGTGAAGATCTCTTATTGTTGGAGAAAATATAACGAGACACTCACGCATTAATGTTATGACGTAAATGTACCGCCTGGTAAGCCTCCTAATGAGAACATCAAGGAGCTCCTCCTGGGCATGATCGATTCCGATGGCGGATAATTGATAAACACAGAAAATCATTGACTTCGTTCAATTTTTCATATGCTTGTTGATGCTCAGAACGACCGCCGATTATTGAATGTCACATTTTTGCATTTTTAACCACCTTAAGGCTTCTTTTCTAATGAGCAATTTCAGGCTCATAACGTTATGAACGGAGACTGTTGTGGCAGTGCGGTGTATTCAAGAGCAGAATCCTTGTTTTTATGTTGTGATGAAAATCTCACAAGGTGGGTTCAACTTTCCTGAACTTTTTGTGATGGAAATCTCACCGTTTCTTATCCTGTTATGTTGTAACAGACAACCATTCTTTGAATTCGTAGCGTCACGTTTATCAGTTATATGCTATATTATTCATATTTTCCCGTTCTTTATTTCCTTCCATTTTGTGCGGTTCTCGTTGCACAGGTTTTGGTGTTATTTTCCCTTTGTCAGGGCCGTTTCGCCAGCAGACGTATGCTGCGGATCGTCTGCATTCGATGGAGGTCGCCAACAGATTTGTTGCGATAATAAGGTAATGAAAACAGTCCTCTACTCTGCAGTTTTTTGTTTCCTAGAAATCGTGCTGGAACAAAAGGAGTAGGTGAAATGTGAAAATAGTGAGCAGAAAACTGAAGGCAAGCGGAGTGCGGGTATTCAGCACGAGGAAAGGGATGAATAGATGGTAATAAGAGCTTGAGATGGAGAAAAAGTGAGGCAACGAAGGAAGAGAGTAACATTATGAACGAAAAACTACAATGAATGAGTGAGAGCGAAGCGAATGAAAGAGGAGGGAGCACCGAATGTGACGTTAGCAGAAATAGATGTGCTATTCCCGAGGTAGAAGAACTAGCTAGGAAATAGGAGTGGAAAGAAAGTAGTTGATGCACTCAGTACATGAAAAATGATTAGTGGACGATATGAGAAAGAGAAAGAGAGAAAGAGAGGAAAACCAATGAAAGATGAGGACAAGTTATAGGCTGGAGAGTTGCACTGAAAGAGTGGGAAAAAGTGAAACGAGAAGGGAAGAGGGATTTAGCGCTTTCTAGGAAGGCGGTAAGAGTAGGTTTGTTATTGATAAACTCTTACCACTTATTTTCGGTGTTCGATAGAAGTCAAGCAGATTCATGTTGTGCTTACAACAATGGCACAAGCGTCGAATATCTATCACGAACGCATTTCTGTTGTAATGGTGCCGTTCCGAAAGGAGCCGGACGCGGTTGTTGTTATTTACGAGTGAACGAAACGCTGTCAGCCGAATCATACAACATCAAAACCGAATGTTGTCGGTATCCATACGATGCTATTTATCCGAAACTGAAAGGTAGCTGTGTTGATATATCGTAGAGTATTACTCACGCCTCTGATTTCATCTAATAATTGTTACTTATATGACTATTTGGAAAGCAAACGCTGAAATACTTCATTATTAACATCACACCGTATTTGGAACGAACTTCACACAAAGAGCAACAACTGACCTCCTTTGGACCAACGAAGTGAAAGTCCCACTTCTTCTCATTAAGAAAACAGTGACCTCTAATTCGGTACTGTTCATACTACGTCAACCTTCTTAATCTTCTCATCTGAATAGGCACAACTGGATCTTTAATTTCAGTGAGCGAGAATAGTGCAATAAAAATGGAATCATTACGTATGAAAATCGTACCTTGCATTTTCAGCTACAGGCCCGACTGTTTTACACACAAGGTGGAGTTTGTTCAGCTTAACACATAACGGCTGGTTTGCATTATAAACAATCACATGCACCTACCCGACAGACCAGTATGAACCACATCTTGGCGCCCGGAAATCTTCCGTGTACTTGATGTCAACACTCGATAACTTTCCCAACGCAGATATTGTGGCAAGCATCGCTCGGGAAAAGCTCTATTCCTCACATCCCTACAAGGGTGGTAGATTGGTATCAGACTTGTTTGGAAAGAGATCAGCGCTGACCAAGTACATCGGCAAACCACCATAAAATCATTGTAAAGACCAGATATGAATTCAATCACCTTCAACGATAGTTAACGAAGTCGAATGCATAACGCATCCCTAAGGGATTGATCAACTCCAAAAGTTTTTATCCTTTTTAAATCTGAGACATTTTGGACAAACCACGTACAATCTTTACATAGTTCCACCCTCCATCTACCAAATACTCAACTTCTAGATAGTTTTTGTAATCGACAAGTTATCTACAGTTGTCGAAAATCAGCACTACTGAGCATATTTTAACTCTCAAATGTTGTCTATTTCAAAGACAAACAATTGCGTATTCCACATTTATTGAAATGAGGAGTATAGGTCGAACATGAATGTAATAGTACTTCCAAATCAGAACAGCACAAATATATGGAAATCAAATAGTGAATGAAGAATTCAGTCTTTCTTACGTTCTACAAGAGTTTGCCTTCGGCATCAATGAGACGCCTAACCGTAACGGTGTTCTCTGGCATTTGATTCTTTGCTGTCCTATATCCTCATAAATATGGGACGATGTAATGGCCAACTGTGATCAGTCAATATTAAGTAAAACTGATAGGATCAATGTTTGGAACCTATAAATAGCACAGAAGAATGGTAGATCAAGGGCTTAACGATGATTCCATAAAAGACATTCAGTTGCCAAGTTTAACCAGTGCCATTGCGACTGAATGGATCCAAAAAAATTAACCATAGCCTCCGATCCTAGGTATAAAATCTCTGAGAAGATAGAAAAAACAAACTGTCCCAATGATAACATAAAGAAATGAACAGCAGGAAAAGTAGGCTTGAAAGTAAGGAAACTCACCACCAAGAGTGAATGAATTGCACGGAGGGTGGAATGCAATGGCCTTAACTGGATGTAGTAATTCAGCAACACTTTCATGTTTCCTATAAAAGTACTGTTTCTACTGTTGACGCCAAGAAACTAATCTGATTGGTTTTCCAACCGAGCGAATTATTACAAAAGGAGGTTACGTACCCTCAATTGGTGGCAGAGCAAAAGCGTCTCCAATCAATTGGAAAAACGAAGCGCTGCACGTCTTATCTGATACTGAAATGTTAACTGATATGTTCTAAATGAAAATGGAAACTGACTGCAAAGGCAAAATTCTTGTTTGAGACGACGGCTTAGCTTCCTCGACATCCTTTTCACTTAAGCAGAATACAGAAGAGTGATCCTAAGCTCTAGGAAAACGGAAATGTCTTCAAAATATATGTGGAATAATACGCAAATAATAAAATATGTAATATACGCACCTGAGAACGCCTCGGGTCGGCTATCACAGGACTCCAGAAAAAATTGCTGGACCAGCATTCTACGACATTCAAGACGAAATCCGCAAGCACCAACCGAAGCCACACGTAAAAGTTGGAAGATCTTTGTGGACAATGGATGCTGGGGAACGAATCGAATGTGAGAACTGCTGGGATTTGCACAGTGGACATGAAGACGAGTCATATAAAATAAAATAAATTAAATAAATGGAATAAATAATAAATATATGCACCACATCTTGAGAGTACTGCTTCGACCTTCCTCCGATATCTTGAGGTTCCGCGTATTGAGTAGATAAACATTCTTGCAACTTAACCCTTTTATTTACTGCCTTTTTCTTCTTAATGGCAGGGTATGTTGCGAAATATAACTCGTATGTAATGCTGAGATATTTGCAAAACTCCGGACCGCAGGTGTATGCGGTGGGGAACGAACGCGCGCTATTGTCCTTAACGGGGTATAGTGCACTTCACCACCACACCATCCGGGTTCTTCGTTTTGCCTGTCTCTCAGCTAGTTCTATTGATCTTTTGCCATCAGCAATCACCCGTTAACGGGATTGATCTGGGGAGCCCAAATCGGCATTGAACCCAGTTAAGCTGAGGCTTAGTTATAATCACAATCTTAACCCTTTTATTTACTGCCTTTTTCTTCTTAATGGCAGGGTTTGTTGCGATAGAATAAAAGATCGATAGAACTAGCTGAGAGACAGGCAAGACGAAGGACCCGGATGGAGTTCTATCGACTGCATACACCTGCGGTCCGGAGTTTTGCAAATATCTCAGCATTTCATACGAGTTATATTCTTGCAACTGTTTAAGTAAATTCTGCAACACCTGAAGAGTTTCTTAACAATAGAGCTTGAAGTTTTTCAGTTCAAAAAGGCCCAAATGCGTAAATTCATGCAGTGCATACTCTGCACCGCATTCACCAGCTCATTAAAATGCCCTTCGATTCTTCAGACAAGCTTGGTATCAGTATAATGCAACTGGAGGAAAGGGAGATTCAAATGATCCCAAAACAATAAGCAGTGTAGCAGTTATGTTTGAAAGAATGCCTTAGATTATAGGATATACGATACAATACGAATTTAAAACCTGACTATTATTATTTTAAAGACATAATAGTACTAAAAAGTTTGGTAGTGTAGTAAGACCGCCTATCACGAGCGTGGTGCTAAACCGACACGGTCAACTGGTCCAACAGGATCGTTATCATTATAGAGTCCAGAAATGGGTAAAAGAATATCTAGCGAAGAGGGGGTTATGGTCGAAGCCGCAGAGGCTGGAAAAGCTTGTTGGTACAATGAACTGCTATTTCCATGATATTCTTTAGCTTCTGTTGTCCGGAACAGACAGCACATTTCCGTGTCTGCGTGCATATGTACAACATGGGCGAATACGCCACGATTTAGCATTCTACAACTGTAGCAATATCTCCATGATCGCTGATGATTTCCTCCACATGTCGCTGCGAAGATTGAGAAGATAAGCCCTCATAGCTCCATGTGTTTCTATGTGGACGTAATCTCACTTTTGTGGCACAAATGTTGCATGTAATGTCGAACCAGGGAACTCTTACACGACTTCCATTAAAGTTAATTTCAAGTTATACCTTTTCAAATTCTGTTTAGGTTCTTTCTACTTCTGTTCAGCAAACACGAGGTGCTATTTTATTGCTTTATGTACGTACAAGATGACGTTTAGGCGGATTTCGCCTTCCTCAGAGTCTGGAAAGATCAAGTTGACAGCAATTTATTCGGCCAAACACCTCCATAACCAAACAGAGAAAACGCTAAACCAAGATTTCAATCACATTTAACACAGCCCTGCACACTCACCGCTTTCTACGAGTCTTTCACTGAGTATGTCTCGTGAAGACCAACCGCACAGAATTCACATGTGGGCTTAATGTGCCCGTCCCATCAGAATAACAGGTTTATATACTGTCCAACATCACGCGTGATAATGAGGCATTCTTTCCTGCGGTTAATTTTCGGATTTCTGGAATTAATCCAGAACGCCTCGAGAGTTTTGCGCACTTGCGTTCTTGTTTCCTGTGTGAGGATCGTGACACGAACTTCGAAGTCCTCCCCGTTATGTTTCTGGGTCCTATGCGTGCCTAGCGGGGTATTTGGTTTATGTTTGCTGGCTAGGTGTTCCTTTATGCAGACACAGAGAGGTCTGCCCGTTTCGCCAATGTATTCGTCTCCACACGACTTACAGGAGATCAGATAAACTATACCAGAGCTCATGCAATCACCGTCTTTACCATTGGGGCAAGTTATGCAATTTTGCGTTGCACATAGGCGTTCATATAGGCGGTTACGAACTAGCTGGCGCCTAAGACTACTTGGTGGTATTTCAACTACGTTTATTCTCTCTTTTTCTCTAGACCCGCCCTTCTTAAGCAGCGTTTTATAGCTGCACTTACATCATTTGAGATGAAGCGTAGGATAAACGGGACTTTTCCAGGCTCTAAGGAAGGCGAAATCAGCCGAAACGTCAGCTTGTACGTAAATAAAGAAATAAAATAGCACCTCGTGTTTGCTGAACAGAAGTAGAAAGAATTGTTCAATCAATGCCGAAGTTAATAGAAAGTCGGACGTGGGAGTTTCTGTTTAGGTTATTTAGATTTACATTTAAATGGGTATAACTTGTAAATCTATCTTTTTAGCACTAACCGGAGATAGAGATCTATCACCGGCTTAGTGGATCTTGGGAGAAAAAAGGGATGTGATAAAAAAAAACAAACGACAGAAGAAAAGAGAGGATATGAAATATACCACAAACCAAACATGAATCTTTGGCATTTCAGAGCTAAAGGAAATTCTATGATCTTCTCCTTCTCTTCTGTTCCAAATTCGATTTCTGAAATGATAAGGTGAAGAAAATTTGCACCTATCAGGTAGTAAATGATTTTTCCAACTTCACATTAACACCTTATAAATTTGAAATCCCGATCTGAGAGCAATAAAAGTGACTTTACACAACTAAAATAGAAACCAAACTAAATCAAATACAACCACTGTTCTATGGATTTAGAGAAATTCTTCAGAGCAGACCATGGATTCCTAAGG